TCTTCACAGGGACTACCGAACTTTTCATTTTCCACTCTGGATTCAAATAAGATAAATATTCTGACGTCGAGAGAAGCACACACGTGGGAGAAATTCACACACAAATTGCAGAAAAAAATGATAAGGCATACACAGAAATAGTGCAAAATCTTCTCTTTATCTTTTATTCTTCTCCAGGTTTTTCCTTTTTCATTTTTTAATGTATTCCTTCTTTCCCTCTACCTCTGATATACAATTTCTCGTATTGTTCTATACAAACTATGATATGCATGGGAGATGGTGTATCCCTGAGCCAGATGCAACAGCAACCTATAAATCAATATATATCTTGCACCTCCCACTGAAAAATCTAGTATAGCTGGCATATATTATGGCGTGCTTGGAAGATGGCATGAATATCTCAACCTCCGATGTGATGCGAGAGCATTTTGAAAAGCAACATCCACTCTTCCACTACCCTGAAACAGTGAATCGTACAAGGCACACACAAACTGTGATAATTCTTTCTCATCATCGTCCCAAAAGGGCATGGAACGTTCTCCATTTTTCTCGGGTTCACTATCTTCCCAATCACTCGTTGGACTGGCAGGGTCTGTCTCTTCGTCTTCTGCTTCCTCCTCCCCAATCTCAAATTTCCCATTCTCAAATGTACCAAACTCACCTGAACCATATATTGATGTCAACTGTGTCTCTTCAGGCTCAGAAGAAGGGCATATAACAGCTTTAGCACCGGAATCTAGAAATGCTTTAATTAAAGCTCTGATAGGCCCATATATCCCCGTGGAGATTATAATTCTGTCCTTCCAAGCTCCGATCTGGGAGGTTCAACAGAACAAGGATTACAAATAGAAAACTTGAATCTAAGATTTGACAGTATAATTCTGACTTTAAACTTACTACAGATTGAAAAACACAAGAACCATATTTTATCCTGGTTTTTTTCAAAAAAAAGAAAGAAAGAAAGAAAGAAAATCAGCATCCGAAAAGAAACATATTAAATCCTGGTTTAAAAATCTTAAAGAAAAACAGCATCCGAATATACAAGCATATGCAAAGAAATAGCTTGCATGGAATGAATATCAGCACTCGACGAAACCATGGAAGAAAAAATCAAATAGTGCAACTGCGCAACTAGAATATTACCAAAATATTCTGTAATTTCGTCCACGTTCTTTCATCAACAGGAGAGAATTATTTCCATAACATACTAATAACCTCCAAGTTTTGGCCAGATGATAGAAATAGATAGGTATTATTGCTAAAAATATATCAGATATCTTTTCCTTTCCCCTTTGCCTTAGATTCTTCATTTGAATTAGAATAGGTTGTTGAGTAAATTGAATGAATAAGCTACTGCAAAACCTTTGGTTAATAAACAAGATTCTAGTCATTTGTAGATAAAAATAATTTCATGTTACATTGTTCAGAAGCCTACTGTTTTTTTTTCTCACAGAATAAAAAAAAAAGATTATCCGATCCAAGAACATACCATATGGCGGACATCTTCCGGGATCAAGTGCATTGAAGGAACAGTTCTGCGAAACATATAAGCACCAATTTCTCGATCATCTTCCATGACCTTAAGGATAACAGACAATAAATCAATACATTGCCCACATTAAACTGACCACTGAGAAGTGTACCAAGTTTATATAGGTTGAAGCACACCTGAGTCTGACGTCCTATATATCTGTGGACAACACCACCAATTTGGAAGTAAGGTCTGCATGAAACAAGATCAGCTACAGTTGAGATGTTGGTTATGGCTGATGCATACTTCCTGCGCCGGCCCTTCATCATTAGAAGCAAGCTGGATTTAACACTCTGCAGAAACTTGTCAGCTAGTTCTCCAGGTTCAGCAACCACAAATACATCATTCTGCCAACTATATATATTATAAAAAGGAAGAGACGTAAGAAAATGTGCAACAATTGTGAAATCTTAAAGCTGAACTGGAGAGGAAAACAAGGAAAAGTGAGACCTTAATACGGAGCCACATGTGTCATTTTGCAAGGCCAAATGAATTACTCCAAGCTGTGGTGAATTCTGAATTTTCTCATGCAACGATAGGACAGGAAGGGAAAGCTGCCTGCGTTTGGGAGGTGACCCAGTGGGTGACACTGTTGTTTTTGCAACATGGAATCCATCCAAGCTTAAAGGTGGGACTAAATCGATTCTATCAACCCTATGAGGGCCAAGATCAGGACTATAAAGGAGAGGACTCGATGGGAAGCTTCCAGTAAACAGAGGTGATGTGAATGGCGTAGGAAATGCAGATCCTGGAGCTGTCTTAATGGACCCAGACGAGCCACTAGTAAGAGATAATTTTATCCCATTACTAGCACAAAATGTCTCAAGTGAACGAGCATGGTGGAAAACTCTTCCAGAATCTGGACTGTTGGAGGCCTCCACAAGAAGCACACAACGCCTCCAGCCTAAAGAGAGGTTATTCTGATTTGATACTGCCATTTAGAGAAAATCAGCAAATCTAAGCCCAACAATCAAAGGAATACATAAGCCACAGGAAACAAATACAGATGATGAGAAGCCATACAGCCTTCAATGCCCTTTGCCTTGAGTAGCTGCTGAGACTGCACCGTCTCCACAAATTTATCATCATGCAGACTCTCAAGCAATCTTTCACATAGAGTTTTGAAAGCAGCAGAATTGTTTTTAAGGTACTCATCTGCAGCATCCTCTAGCTTTAGCCAAACTGCTGGATCAGTTTCATCCAGTTCCATATCACAGCGTTCATCAACTGCATGCAAATAAAAACATTGAGAATGATATATACTTAACAGTTTCACAGTTGATAATTCTGTTCAATGAATATATGAGTCAATACAACTGTATTTCTAGTTAGATTGTTTGATCCAAATCACATTACTATTTGTTCAAGAAAAGAAATAACAGTACAAGCTATGGAGATTTAAATAAAGGGAAGAAATACTGTGATGACCCTAGCCTCGTGCACAGCCATTCTCTTACATATTGTACGCTTTGGGAGAGCCTAAATCCATCTTACCTCTCACGGCTTTTGTCGCGTCCCTAGAATTCAAACCCACGACCTCTGCCTTATGAGAAACTTAAGTTGAACAGAAAGCCACAAGGAGTAAGATGAACTTAGATTCTCTCAAAGAGGACAATACGTAAAAGAATGGCCGGGCATGAGGCTCGGGTCGTTACAAAATACCATGATTCAACTTAGATATCTCATAAAGCAGAAATCTTGAGTTCGAATCCATGAGATCACGATAGAAAGCCGTGAGGGGTAAGATGGGTTAAACTTCCTATAGCGGACAGTACGTAAGTTAACGGCTTGGATACAAAGGCCTAGTCATTACACATACAATATATTAAATCATAACTTAACCTGGATTGAATCGAAAATAGTGTACACTAGGCAGCATAGGGATCAATGCGCTCAGAGCTTCCTCCACACGGTCAACAGAGCATGCACTCTCAATCAAAACTTGTCCAGTGTCCAAATAGCGCCAGCCACCCTTGCGAACCTAATATAAAAGGAAAATAGACAGCTGGAAATCAACAAACTGGACAAAAAGCAATTGTTGCAAATCATAAAATAATTACATTGCCAATATCGAACAAGTATGATGTACAAACCCCACCTCCATCCCCTACAATGGGGTCAATATTACTTACTAGGTCATCATGCTGAAAATCCAATATGACTTACTCGGTCAGTCTCAAAATTGTGTTTTGACTTTAGTATGAAGAAAGAAGAGATGAAGTTCAAAATCCAGAGTAAGTTCTCATAAACAACTCATTGTTGGACAAAGGTTTGGCAATTCACTAAATTCGTGAATTCATATAACAGGCAAGTTTTTGGCTCATTCCTTAAAACTCTATGAACATTCTTAAAACTATATTACAAAAAACTAGAAGATAAAATTGCATAAAAGCTGCACAAAACTGAAAAAAATTCTTCATACCTTGGTTGGAGTGGACCCGCAACCAATGGAAACTAAACAATCAATTTTAGCATCAGGCCACAATAGTTGTGCTTCTCGTATGGCAAAAATAGTAGGATTATTGGCTACAATAGCCCCATCTTGCCAGCGATATACACCTGTAGAGAATGAAGTTCAAAAAAAGGCAAGGAAATATTGCCCATAAACAAGCATAAAAACTGATCAAACAGATGAAGAGCTGTGACATCAAATGCACAACGAGCACGAAAGGGTACCATCAGAGTAATCATCTAGATAGTATGGTGCTGCAGATGATGCTCTTATAGCTTGCCATATGTGATGCTTACAACTTCCCATGAAAGCATTACGTTTATATCCAAATGGAGCTCCAGTAGTTGCTGCTCCTTGCCCACCACTTGCCAAGTTTTCTGAACCAGCAGAATAAACCTCTGGTGTTCCAGCAGGGTACTGAACTTAGTGGAGAAATTCAGTTAGTTCATAACAATAAAACAACTGAAACAGAGTATGTTAAAATAATACACACGTGAATATAAAGTAAAAATGAAAATCTTCAAATCATACCTGGTAATTTCGGAAAATAAATGGCTGAGCTGGCATAACACTGACCAGAGTTGAGACAACGAAAACTTTAGGAATCCTTTTAACTGCTGATTCTATGAGGAGATCTCCATCCTCGTCAGCACACATTTCCTTCAGCAGTCTTTCAAACTGATCTGCACTGTGCTGGAAGAAAATATGGGGTCACTATAATTTCATAAAAAATATTTTTTATCTGTAAACACTTCAACACATGTTTTCAAGAAGTCTGTAAAACAGAGAAGCGAAATAGAGATTCGGATGAAGTGAAGGGAAACAAAAAACAAAATTGTAAAAAATGCACAAGCGTACCCTCGTCGACATATCAAGCATGACTATCTGAAAAATATACATCAAAGAAGAGGAATGTAACATGACATACTTTAGATCCATGCACAACAACACGAAAACTCTGTGATGAGCTTTTATAGAGCTGATCCAACTTTTCTCTCCAACTTGCTGCTTCATTGTCCTTTGGTACAGGTTCAGCAAAGACAAGTTTACCTGGAAAAATGAAATGGGCAAGAATAAAAAAAGAAAGAAACAAAGAAAAAAACAGCCAAAATAGTAACAAATCATGATGTTGGAGCTCTTCTTTTGAAAGAGGAATCTGACCTAGTTTTTTATATACTTCTTCACATTTTTCCAAGGACATCAGTTTGATTCCAAGAGCAACAGCAAGCATTCCGCCTGTAGATGTTCCACAAATAAGGTCAAAGAGCTCGTGTATCTGCTTTCCAGTACCCTTCTCGATTTCTTTTAGAATCTTTACAGTTGCAAGACCCTTCATGCCACCACCATCCATTGTGAGTATGCGCAATCCTTGCTTGGGTACCTGCCTGCCTCTAATAGCACGCCTCAGAATCTCATTTTCTCCTAAAATAACAGAGTATATATCTTGTTAGCTTATGGATATAAATCATATCCAAAACAAAGAATGAAATACCCACAAAAAACCACCTAATATTGCCAGAACACGAGCTGCAGCTTTACTCACGCGGGACTCAGATGCAACTGTCAGCCGCAGAAGAAGTTCCCGAACACTTTCTGAAGTAACTAGGGTGCGGCGGTTTTCTAAGCAGAAAGCTAAGTTTCCAAGAGAAAATAAAGCCAATCTTTGTACCTGAAGAAAGAGAATGTTTACTTTCAGTGGAAAAGAAATAGAAGGTTAACCATAAGCACAAAAGAGAAACGCATTAAATGAGCTTGCCTCTGAATTTTTGTGGGCACATAGTAATTTCAATGACTTCAATACATCCTTTGTCAACATTTTCTGAGCTACAACATCAGATGTAAAAGCCAACTTGACCACAACTTGCAAGACTGAGGTCACCTCTTCAGCTCGGGTAGATTTCAACACCCTTTCAATAGGTTGCATGATGTCAGATTTAATCAATTGCATCGCCACGTGGATATCTGATGCAAGAGCTGAGAGAGCATTGCAAGCTTGCTCAACCTGGCAAAACATCTAACTGATAAGAAAATGCATATCTGAAAACCATGAGCAATCTGACTAAAAATTCCAACATACCACATGCTGATTTTCACTACTTATCATACTAATGAGCTGCCGCACAGCATTCTCATCTTTTCCCACGACTACACGGTTTCCCTCATCTTGCATTATCTTGGCCAAGGCAGAAGCCAGCAAAGGGTGATGACAAGAAGAAAAGCGGAATATGAGAGAGAAGAAGGCACTCAGTTTATGTCGAGATGCAACAAAGTAAGAACTGTTCTCCATCTACAATAAAACCCACATAAAAGTAAACTTCAAACTGACCAGACAAGTAATCTGCAGAATAACCATGGCAAGACTTTTGTATTACATACCTCTATATGTACAGTTACTGATCTTAAATTGTCATCTGCCACAATCCTAATGTTTGCAAGAGACAAGTGGCGAAGTTGACGCAACGGCAAAATTTCAGGAAGAAATTCAAGGGGATTGCCAAAAAGCCTTAAAACACGCAATTCTGCCATAGCCCTGTCAACAAAATGACAAGAAGTAAAGAGCTTTTGAAAAATACATTACACACCATCTGAGATTTAAAAATGAAAATTAGAACAGTGCAGTTATAGATGTAAGATGATAACTGAATGACCTGAAATCAAGAAGAGGGCGAACTAGCTTGTTGTGTTCCAGGGACAATTCAACAAGACCAACACACTGTCTTAATTCAACTGATTATAGTTTTCAACCATGACAAGCAACAAATTTATTAGCAAAAGAAGGGGAACAAAAAAGTCTTATCAATGTATAGTTTGTAATCATCTGACTTGCTTACTTTCAAGATTTAGATATAGTCGAAGATGAAACTAAATTAATATAATCTGCGTAGAGAAATCAAAATCCAAGAAAAATTTCAAATCTTACCAGGCACAGAAATAAGCATGTTATAATCTACAGCAAGGACTTTCAAGTTTTTCAGATCACCAAGCTCAGGCGGCAAAACTGATAGCCTGTTATTATCAAGGTATAGTTTCTCAAGAAGAGGAAGTTGGGTTATCTCCACCGGCAACGCCTGAGATAACAAACAAACATGATAAAATATATTTAATCATATGTGGAACTACTTCGTCGATTATTCTTTAATAAGATTCAGGGGAACTGGTTCCTCTAAGGTAGAAAGAGCAAGAAGCTGTTCATTAAGACCACCTAAGTTAAATTAACACCAAAGAGGCACGAAACTGTATCATTTCTGACTGGAACACATTGACTACTTCAAAAATCAAGCCAGTGATTTGGGTAGATAGTAAAACTAATCGGCAATCTGTTATTCACACGTGAAATGATATGCTAGTGAATGGCACACAAACCCAAAATACTCTGTTTAACCGCAAGGCACAGTAATACTAAACGAATTTACAGTGATTGATAATTTCAATCATTACCTTAAACAAAAAAGATTAGAAGACAAGAACATATTTCATGACAGAAATAAGTAAAGTACTATATTTCCTACAGAGATTAGAAGTGAAATTGATCATCTAACTCACACACAAAATTGTTGAATGAAATCATAAAATTTAGCATCTTTCTTGGACTTAACATTTCAACACTCGCTCAAATGCAATAGTATTTCGTGAATAGACCAATCAATTAACGTGCATAATATAAACAAGTAAACACCAACAGCTTCAATTGTCCTAACAATGATGAAAGCAAAGGACTCACTGCCAATCCAAGACCGCAGAGGCTGACCACATTGACATTCCTCCAATGTTCAGCGCAGCAAGACCCTATGGCCACTCCATCTGTTGCTGTGTTGGCGAAATTGGACCTCATAAGCTTAACCAACACACCCATCCCGCCATCATTCTGCTGGCCCGAACCACCTGCCCTCCACATTATCATCCCCTTCAACGGCTCCCTCCTCTTCACCACACTCATTTCCACTTCCACCCCATCCCCTTGCGAATTCCCCAAATCACTCTCACCGCCGTCATCCCCATTTACCAAATGAGCCCCATCATCAACCCCACTTTTCGAATTGCACTCACCAGTTTTGCCCCTCTCCCTCAATTCGATTTGAACAGTATCTTGAGGTGAAGGCAAGGCGACCATTACCTGTGACTGAAGCTTCAAAGCAACTTGATCCTCATCGTCGCCGGCGTTCCATTCAAGGTCAACCCTAAACCCTAGTTGCTCCTGATGGCCAATGTCCCCGACATCCTGCAACGACGAGGTAGGAGAGGAGGCGGAGAATGGGGAGGCGGCTGATGACGATCGGGATGACGTCGGAGTGACGTCATCAAGATTGTCGGCGTCGGAACCGTAACTCAATATCAGATGAAATACTTCCGATGGACGCTTCCAACCCAATCCCCAGGACATCGATACCAATAACAAATTTCAGATCAGGGTTCCAGTTCTTAAATTTTCTTGAATTATTTGATTAACAATGTAACGATCTGATTATAATGGAGTCAAAAATGCGGATTGAGTGAATCCGCATTGGTGAATTTAGCAGTATAATTTATTTCATATTTTAGTGTGTAAAAATGAAAAGATTTACCGAATTGATCGAGTGTATAAATTACATATATATACGAGATCGTTCCATCCAGACGGACTGCCAATGCCAATGCGCGTGCGGCACCCGCCTGTTATTGTTTTGTTGGACTTGGCGGTAACGGAGTTTATATGTGATGGTGGAAGAAGCCAATTTACGATGTGAAATGAAGTCCGAACGACGTCGTCCAGCAGGATCAATTTTCTTTTCTTTTTTCAGTAAGTATTAACTTTGCAACTAAAACACACTATTATTTTACGAGTTAAATGTTTCAATAGTCACCGAATGGATGGACCAGCTCCTTCTATCCCTGATGGTGGAGCATCCTTGACAGAGCAAGTCGAACTTCAACAAATGAGTGGTAGTGGTTACGTGGACACACCAGATTTTTGATGGCTGAAGATACATGTCCTTTGTACTTCTGGCCGATGTTTTTGTGCCAATATCGAAGAACAGATTTTGATGTATATATGAATGTAGTTTTGACATTTTTTTGATGTTGTTGGCTGGATTATTGCTGGTTTTTGGATGCACAGATTGTATGTGACATAGCCAACTAGATAAGGTGTAGTGGAAGCTGTTCAAATCAATGTAATGAAGTTCAAATAACTGTTTTTGGATGCACGGACAAAAATGTCACATTTCTAGTTTATGTCTTCATCCTTCTTGGGTTTTTCATATCATTCTTGGGTTTTTTTCTCTTGATTTTAAGTAGTAGATGCATTTGGCGAGTCCTTTCCCATTCAAGGAGCTGTCAAATTCATTTTTTTTCATTTCAGTTTTTCAGAAAAAATTGGTACAATGGTTGGTGAATCTATTACTGCATTTTGCCATTTCTCTGTTCTGAAGTCCATACAAGAGACAGCCAAGTAGTAAAGATAATTGAGAGCTTTCCAACATTCACGACAGCCAGTAAAGCACAGACAAATATGCATTTCATCTACTAAACTCATAGCAATATTACTCACACCAAATTGTACAAATGAAACTCAAGTTTGAAGCTAACAAATTGTACATAGTTAACAATCTCCATTACATTACGGATGAGAACAAATTCTACATAGGAAAATATTAAATTTCTAAACCATCTTCTCATCGACTACATAGTTGGATTGTCTTCACTAATCTCTTTCCTTTTGTTTTTCATTCGCATCTACATCTCGTGATCCTTTGCAGAACGTAATGTTGATGGATATCTCGACATTCGATTGTTTGGTAATTCAAGTACAAGTTTTGAACAAACTCGCTAGCTCTTCAGTTTGATGCTCTGGCTTGTGAATGGCTAAACAGTCGCACCTTGATTCCCGTTCATTTTTTACCCTACTGGACTGGCCATTATCTTGTAATGGTACACGTTTATTGGGCGCAACATTACTCCACTCGAAAACCCACAATCTCTAGTACAACAAAAGAATAACCTACCAATATTTGCGATCTTTTCTACTTCCATCCATTTCATAAAACCATCAGTACAAGCCGAACATCTTTGCTTCTTTGGGCATGTCCACAATTGGTGCTCTGGTTGTCTGCAACTATGGTAAATGTCCTTATTCTTCCCTAACACACAAAAAAGGTTGGTCAGAATCAAACATGAGAAACAGAATGTTCAGTAAGTGCTGGAAATTGGAATTCAATTCACATCAACAGCAAAAGACTTTTTCAAATGTTGCCTGCCTCACTTGGTCAGAACAAATAAATAGAAAATTGGGAAGAGACTACTTCAACTTTGTAAATATAAACTGGTCAAATGCAATAGCAATGTTAAACGCATCTTTGGCTCATCTGCATAACGTTTTCAGAAGAACAAATTGAAAAATTGAATCGAGCACAAGCAACTGGGAAGAGGTTATTTGAATAATCAAAACTCAACTCAAGAAAATGTTGGATTTCACACTTGGCAACTACTTCCGAACTCTAGCATAACGTTTTCAGAAGAACAAATTGAAAAATTGAATCGAGCACAAGCAACTGGGAAGAGGTTATTTGAATAATCAAAACTCAACTCAAGAAAATGTTGGATTTCACACTTGGCAACTACTTCCGAACTCCAGCATACCACCAATCTCTTCTACAGACAACAAACCCAATGATTTCGAAAATTCTACTTCGAACAACAATTCCAGCAGCAATGAAATTAACATTGTAAAGAGAAGGGAAAATTTCTGAATTACCTCTATTTGCTCTCTCCATTTGAACGGCTTCAAGAACCCCCCTTATAACTCCTTCAGTTTCGGTTCCATTTCGTTCAATTTTGGACTAGGGTTCATACAATTTGGGAGTGAAGAGTCTTCGATGAGAGATTTGGGGAAAAGTAACGTTGATAACCTACATCCCTTCTCACGCTTTTTTCAATATAAAAGATGTCTTTTGGGGAGTTTGATGACATGGCAATTAAAATACAAGTCATGGGTTTTAACTAGCCAAGTGTGGAAATCGTCAACCACGTGGGCCAACTGTAGAGACAAAATGAAGGGGGTGAGTGATGGAGTGCAAATTTTGTAAGTTCAGTTAGTGGTTGGATGCAATTTGAAGTTCAGTTACTGAAAGGTGACAATTTGTAAAGTTCGATGACTGTTGAAACATTTAACTCTTTATTTTACTTAGTTTTGGTGGATGTACATTAAGTTTGATATCATAGACGACATTATTTGACGTTGTAAAACAATTGGCCATCGATTTAACAATACTTATTCAAATTAATGGCACAATTTTTCACACATCACACAATGTCATCCAAAAATGTACAACTAGCATAATTCTATTTAGGTCATGTTTGATCCACATTCTTAAAAAAATGCATTATTTCAATGCTCATTTTCAACCACACAATTTTCAACAAAATAATATTACACGCAAATCCAAAAATTTTCCTTCTTTTTAATCACATATTTTTCATCGCATCACTATTTAAAATGCATTCTTTCCTTAAAAATATGCATCAAATAGGGGCTTATTGCTAATTGAACATATCTACTTAATTTTATAATAAATATACTAATTGTAGGTAAAACCTAAACTAAAATGAACTTAGGTGCAATTGGAGTGAAAAATGTGAAATTGGAGCTTAATTGAAGTTATTTGGAGCAATTGATGATCAATCAAATTTAGAATTGTTTAATATGAAGAATTAACGAGAAGTCGGAGGAGAATCACAAGTCTTAGGAGTTAAACCCAATATATGAAAAGTTTGGAGACTAAATTGTAAATTTTTGAAACTTGCAAACGCATCAATTACGAATTAATTGTAGATGATGAGGGTCAAAATACAAAGATCTAAAGATGAAGGACCAATAGTCCAAATAAGGAATAACTGGAGCTAAACAAGAGAAAATCAGGAATCAAAATGAACAAAAGAGAAAAAATGTACCTTACGATTGCAAGGCTATGAAATTCAACAACAGAAAGTAAAAACTAATCCCATGTAATCGTACATCATTGCACTATGCGTGATCGCACATAGGCGTGTGCATTGGTTGGGTCGATTTTTGCCTCAACCCAACCCAATCCAACATGACCGATTTGATCAAAATTTAACACAACCCAACTCGTGTAAAGGTTGAAATCCAACCCGACCCAACCCAATCAAGTATCGGTCGGATCGGGTTGGGTCGGTTTGGGACGACTTGTCAACAAAAATTAAAATCATCCAATTTTCTATTATACTAAATTCGAATAGAGGAGATTAAATAGTAAGTAAATAAATAAATAAAAGTATCTATTATCTTATTCAATCCTCATTAGTGGAGTCTACAAAAAACAAAGTGCATTTAACATAACATGAAAAATGTATACTATATTTCTTGTGGGAAGAACAGTAAGCTCCTCCTCTAAAATACACCAAGGTAATTACAGTTACACTATCTACTCATACTTTTTAGGTTTTTTTTACTTTTCTAAGCATTTTATTTCTTTTTTTTTTTAAGTTTTGAGTTGGGTTGGACGGGTTTATTCGATTTTCTTGAGTTAATTCATAACCTGACCCGACCCGACCCGCATACATAGCCAATCCACTCAATCCATGTAAAAATAACAAAAAAAGGACCCAACCCAGTCAGGTTGGTTCGATTTTGGCAGTTTTGACGGGTTCAGCCTGTTTTTGCCCACCCTTAATTCGCACAATGTAATTTGCCCGATCTAATTTCATTTTCAAATTTCATTTATTTTAGGGAATATTACAGTCAGGTACCAAACCTTTCATTTAGTTGCAGATTTTATCCAAACATTTCATTTGTACCATCCACAGTACCAAATATTTTAAAAAATTACAGTTCCAGTCCTCACTGATAGTTTCCGTCCATATAACCACAAAAATTGTTAGTTGACCCCAAAACTTTTTTAAAAAAATTATAATTTCCACCAAATAAATAAGGGCAATTTCGAAATTACACACTTTTCCTATCTATTATTGCACTTCACGTTCACTTTTCCTCTATTTTCATCATTATTAATATCTTTCTCTTTCTCACAGTTAGTCAGGAAAAATCAGTACGCAGATGGAGATGAATGTATGCAGATGTGGTTCCCCAGCGCATATGAAGACCTCATGGACGAACCAGAACCCAAGAAAAAGATTTCTCACTTGTCCTCGAAGCCAAGATCTGAGTGGATGTACCTTTTTCGTGTGGTGTGACCCTCCTATGTGTGAGAGATCTAGGGAGCTGATTCTAGGTCTATTACGGGATAGGAGGAAAATGGAGGCTGAAATCAGTACCCTCCAAGCACAAGACCAAATTTGTGGAAGACTTGGTTGTTCGGATTTGTGTGTGGAGTGTTTGTAAAATGGGTTAGTATTGGGGGTTTAGTGTTTAGGCGTTGGGGGTTT